GTAGACGAAGGAGCACACAGCGTAATAAGGAAGGGTTTTGCTACTATCACGGAAAATTCGGAGCGGAATCCTGGAGATGCCGGAAACCGTGTTTTTGGACAACCCCGGACAAGCGTCAGGGAAACTAGCGGAGGTGTCGCAAGCAGAGGCGATTGACGATACACCGAAGAAACGGCGCCTCACCATTAGGGATCGTTATTCGTGCATCGAGTTTTTAATTGATACGGGTGCAGACGTCTCAGTTTTTCCCATGAGTTTCAAAGGTAAAGGCGCGAAAGACGACGTTTTCAAGTTGTATGCCGTAAATGGCGCAACAATTAATACATACGGCGAAAGATTGTTATCTTTAAATTTAGGTTTGCGTCGTAATTTTTCTTGGAGGTTCATCGTGGCCGATGTGTCAAAACCTATAATAGGAGCAGATTTTCTTCATTTTTATAATTTATTGGTAGATCTTCGAAACAGAAGACTGTTGGATGGAAATACCAAACTTTTTCAAGTAGCTACTGTAGTTACAACAGAAATTCCCTCTATTTCGACAACAGATGCAAACAGCACGGTCACACCTCTGCTTAGAGAATTTATTGAGATCACACAGGCAACCTCCAGGAAAAATGTGAAACATGATGTTTTTCACCATATAATCACAAAAGGTGCTCCTATCGCCGAACGGGCGAGACGTTTACCCCCAGAAAAATTAAAAATTGCATGAGCGGAATTTGAATAGATGCTTCAAGATGGAATTTGTCGCCCATCGCAGAGCCAATGGGCCAGTCCGCTCCATATGGTGCCCAAAAAGTCAGGCTGTTCGCGCGTATAATCTGCCGGGCGGGTCCGACTCGATATTACCAGGCCGCGAGTGTAGCGAGACACGGAATGCCGTTCTGAACGTTCGCGTTGAGGAAGTGGGCAGGTGAAATCACTCCATTAGTTCTCTAGATTAGTTTATTCGCGTAGCTTTACTAAAAAATATAATATTGAATAACAAATGTCGTGATATGGGGATTGATTACAGTTCCACGCACTACTCCGTACCACGCGTCAAGCGGAAGAGGACGATGACAAAAGAAGTCTCGAGCGGAGAGACTCTCGCGTCAGAGACCCCGAAGGGTGGCGGTAGGAGCGCTGGTACAGAGGAAGTGATCTGGGACCGTGCGGCGCGAGTCATAAATTCGGCCGCAACATGAGCGTATGCCGAAAACGGTCCTCGATGAAGGCGGATTGTCAATTTTAGGGGCAAAATCATCGAATTTTTAAATGTTAATGACTAATTAACGAAGCCCTAAACGCAATGTTTTCTCTCTTGATTTTCGAGTTATTTTCGACCAAAGAACACGTCCTTAAAATATTGCCCCCTAGTAGGTTTACACCCTGTATAATACTTTTTATTGTCTGGAATTAGCTCATTATCTCACTAAATTAGCAAAGCATTTCCCTCTCTGGATCCAATCACCGAGGAGAGATTACTAATGAGTGGCAACGCCTGTGTTAACACGCGGCCCGAAAAACGGGCCCAAGAGGGCTCGAACCGGCAAGGTAGATTCATGAAATCCCACAGAATGACTGTTCCGGAGTGTACCGACCTTCAGGCTCACCGATGCCGGTGCCGATGCTTTTTTCCAGCACGATAGGTAATAGATAACCATAGAACGTTGATATTATCAACGTTATACTTGATTCGAGATTATTACTTCAGAAAGAGAATAACTATCATTTTCAAATTTTGTCACACTTGTATTACTTTATTTTCATTAGTGCACACCATATTTTGCATTTGAAGTAGGAATAAAAGTAATTGGCATTTAATATCTCAATGAATATCAGTGTTTAATTGAGATTAGTTTCTGAATTGTTGTTATATCCACCAGAGAGGAACTTAGAGTGCTCACGGCCGTGTTTTGCGTGTTTTGACCATCGAAATCACGATGAAACGTGATCGGAGTATTCCTTCATATGTCGTCGACGAACGATCTGGTGTGGAACCCCGTCTTACCGCATCATTGTAATCTTTTACCAATCTCTCACGCGTTTCGATCCGTCCGCTCGGACTCTTTACCAAAAAATTTGCATCTGTACTTTCTCCTTCATTCATCTTTGTACACACGATACTTTTTCGTTCACATCAATCGCACTGGGAGCGGTTTATGCAATTTTACGCGACCAATCAGAAATAATGCTCGCGTCATAATCCGTTCTACCGTTTCGAAATTATAGAAAACCCAAATGCGAATTCCCCGGTAGAGAACTTAGTGAACGACGACCGGGGTACCGGCTGAAATAAACTGGCTAGAGAGTTTCTTCCCCGACCAAGCGGGTAGAAGATTCTTTTTAGCCGTAAAAAACGGTTACGAAACCCAGCCAGTTTTGTGGCCAGTCGTCACTGGCTAGTAGAAATTTGTCCACACTCACTGGTCAATTGAAATCTGGCCAAGTGTGGTTCTTAGTAATAAAATCACGGTGGAATCAACTGAACTGACCCACTTGTTCAATTGAAACGAAATTGAAAACCGCGAAGCCGGGGAAATTGCCACCGACATGGGATTTGCAACACACCGCGCTGGACCCTTAGAGACCATACATCATCATCGATTCGGGATTGTATTTGCATATTTGAAACTAATTGTTTAAATAATTTATGACTGGGGAGATTCCTTTCCGGTGCATTCTGTTTCGTCTAAGATCGTCCGACTTCTCTGTGCCGGGAAGTGCATTCGAGAAAGGTGAGTCTTGGTGAGTTGGTAACTTGTCAATTAATTTTATTTATTATATTTTGTTTATTGACGAAATGTTCGCTTTCTTCTTTTATAAATCATTCTAATTCTTTCAGGTTGTAGACATTTCTCTTTACGGGGATATTCTACTTCAAGACTGCATTTTACGAAATTGAGTGCATGTCGAATGGAGCAAACGGCGCTTCATTCGGCTCAAGGGCACATTTGACCCCCTTATCCAGCTAGGCCCTTTGGATAGTAAAATATTAGACTAACAGCTGCAAACTAAAGTCTTTAGCTATGCTTTGTCACGCTTCTATAACTATGACTCCGCGTCTAAAGAATGTTTTCGTAGGAACAGACGATGTCATGTAAAACGTCTATTAGTAAAGGGCAGAATCTTATCTCAGAAGTATCTAGTAAACGAAGTAGAAAGTATACATTTATTAGTATGTACAATGACCTCAAAGGATTTCGGGTCAGTTCTATAAAGTATATATAAAACATACCACGCTTGATATGAACGAAGTATACCAAAAACGTTGTACACATTTTGCAGATATACTTTACAAGGCTGACCCGAAATCCCTTAAGGTTACTATACATGAGCTGAATATTACAATTGTTGATGATTATGATTTATTAATTGTTTCCCTTTCTGATTACAGTTTTAAGCTACCTTAAATCTACTTTATATTATCTCAAAAATACCTTACTACATTCCTACTTCCTCCGCGTCCGTATACATATAGGTATGCACCGCTTAAAACTCCTCTGCCAATCTCTCTTGCTCGCCTTTGTCTTATTCTGCCTTTCTCTTTATTTCGAAAATCACACTATTTTGCTGTCAACTGTTCTCTCTCTCTCTCTCTCTCTCTCTTTGCCTTTTATCATTATCATACATTCTTTAATGTCCCCACATCTCTCTCAGTCCGCTCTCACTCCCTCTTATACATTTTGGGCCATCTTTTTCGGTTTTATGTTCTATACTTTACCCTACGCTTTTACATATCGTCTTATTCATATCTTTCCTCTTGCTCTAATCCTCCTCTCCATCTCTAATCCTTAACCACTCCTTCACCCATCCCATTCCTGCCCCTCTTCCATCCAAAATCTCTATCACTCTCTCATGTACTATTTTCGTTTCTGTCTCCTCCACCTGCATCATACACTCCTCCAGCATGTGATCCCTAATATTACCCTAATTGTTTACATATCATTTGGGTTCGTAACATTTTTATATACGTCTACCAGACTCCTCAGATCGTCGTTACAAAGATAGTTACATATCTGTGCGCTGCAAGTAGAGGGTAACATTCTATCAAACTGAAACTTCTTGAATAAATTCTGACAAGCTCGAATGCTTTCATCTATCAACTTAATTCTTTCCACACCCCATCTAAAACGACTTTTTATCATACTACCATAAATAGGGAACTCCGTTTCGCAATTGTTTAGTGTTAAATAGTTGGCAACATCTTTATTTCTCGCGAATTCATTTATGCTTACTGTTAGAATATCATAAAAGGTAATGTTGGTGTTGTTGATTTTCTCCCTTTTCATTCTCTCGAATTCTTCGTTACATTCTTCCTCATATGTTTTATTATTAAACTCTACTTCGTTAATCACAGCTATGTTTAAAGCATGAACATCTAACTCAGCAGCCCGCAATGCTATTACGTGTTGCAAAAGAATAAGAAGTGATTTAGTTTCTTCTGTTGATGCATAATTTAACGCTGTACGGTTCTCTTGGTTAACGATGTTGATGTCAGAACCGTATCTTAGAAGGATCGCAGTGAGACGGTCGTGAGGCTTTATAGAAGCAAGGTGAAGCGCAGTGTTTCCACGTTCATCAACGCAATCTACATCGGCACCTGAACGTAACAAAATTTCTGTGATATCCAGATTATCTATCGAAGCAGCAACATGAAGCGGTGTTGATCTTTTATCGCTCTTGATATTCACTTTTGCACCTTTCTCCACGAGTAGTTTACAAATTTCCACTGCCCCAGATACTGTAGAGGTATAAAGCGGTGTCGTACCGTCTACATCTTCGCAGTTAACATCCGCATTATAGTCCAACAGAAGCTTGACGACATTTACGTCTTTGGCTCGGACGGCTTCATGAAGCGCCGTTCTACGATAATTATTTCTTGCATTAATATTAGCTCCATTAACGATCAAAAGCTTAAGGATTTCATAATTAATGGGATGTCGGAGAACACATGAATGTATGGCCGTGCTACCATCTGTATCTCGTCCATTAACGTCCATAACAACAAGCAGCTCAACAAATTCTATAGAAGCCATTTTAGCAGCAATGCACAATAATTTGTACTGATTTTCTATCCTGGCACCTTTATCCATAAGTAGTTTCATTATTTCTAAATCGTCATTTAGAGCAGCCTCATGCATCGGAGTAAAATTTCTTTCATCTACAGCATTTACATTAGCTTTATAGTTTATTAATAGTTCTGCCATCTCCCTCTGTTTCGTTATTACTGCCATGTGTAACAATGTAGTTCTTCTATTAAAATTTGCATTCTCGTGTAATTCATTAATATCCCAATTGAATGGATGAAGAGCACTAATTAATTCTTTTAATCTATTGAGATTCCTCTCTATCACAGCGGACATCATTTCTCCGTACAATCTTTCTCTATCCGCCATTTTCTTCAGATCTGTCAATATGTACATAGCAAAACTTAGAATTATAGAAAAATAGGCAGTAGAAATTGTGATGTGAAATGAAATTGAGACACTTACCTTATTGTAAAGCAATACAAGCGTACGTACCAGATTGTCACTCGTTATTTCAAGTCACCTGAAACATTAAACATGTTGAGGATTATTTATTTTATTCTTGTTAGAATAAGGCAATCTTAATTTGAATTAAGTGGTTAGATAGTGCTCATAACCGGATCAGCACGCGGACTGTTTGTTCGTACTTCCGGTAAAAATTCAACTAGGCGAAAGTTCAATATATTTCCTCGTTAATACAATACATGATTTTCATACTTTATTCTGATTCGTATCGATACTATATTGTGTACAAGTGAAGGAGGAGTAATAAACAGAACTCCATAAAACTAAGAGAAGTCTAAAAATTGTTTCTATGCGACCAGCTGTTCAATAGGTTAAGGGCCCAGAAGGCACGTGTAGTGAGAAAATGGGCATAAAGAGGAACAAGTCAGAAAGTAAAAATAAGTAAAGAAATAAAAAGTATAAGAATACTGTAAAAATGTGCGCTGCAACAAGTAATGTAATTTCGTTGAAAGCATTAAGGAATTAAAAGTTAACCAAGTATAACCGTCGTGGAAATTAAGCAAACGGAAGGAATTATGCAAACTCCAGAGTGGAAAAGTAAAGCTGCGAAGGTGAGAAGAACAATGGATACTATTTGAGAAACAATCCTTAATAAGTATAGTTACATGTAAAAATGCGCATGATATGTGGCAAAGATTAAAAAGTATTTATGACACTGCAGCAAAAATACAATCTGGCGTAAGAATTTTTCTAATACGAAAACAAAGAAGAGACTGATATTGTTAGTATTTATTAATTGAAAATGATTTAGAGTCTCAAGTTACAATGAAAAATAACTTTTATTTGCGTAGGACGAAATTATATAAGTAAAGAGAAATGAAACTTTGAACTATTCTTTGGAGAAAAAAAATAAATCACATTACTTCTGTTCTNCAACTAATGTGATCTGAATGAAGAAACTTCTCCAGAGAACTATTAGACTGAATTATCATGCGCTCTCCAAACGCATCCGCTATTTATTTGGGTCCTAAGACCCGTCTCCTTCCTCGCTATCGATCGACGCCGTCGATCGCCGGGAACCGCGTTTTCCCTTTCTATATTCAACCCCGAGGAAATGTCCAATCCCTCGGTCGATAACCGCCCTTTACTCGAACTCCCACGCCTAGGCGGAGTCTGCACCAATCCCCTTCCTTATAGCATCCCTAAACAATTAGACCCTAAACATCGCGCAGTTCGCGGCCCGAATTGGACCCCCTGGGCCTCGGCCACCGCGGGCGCCACGCTGTCAGCAGCCATGTGTTTAGACTCAGTCCTCGAACCCGAGTCGATGCTATTTCCTTTCTATGAAGAAACCATAAATTGACTTCGTTAAGTTCGACAGTTATCGAGACCAGGTTTGTCCCAAAACAGTTCTCTTATCTCGCGTTCCAGACGCTCGCTACCCAGCCATGTCCGTCGACACATTTGCCGTTGACAAGCTCAGCGCGTTCCCGCATTTACCCAAGCTTTGCTTGTGACGTGGGGAAAACTCTTCTTGAGAAAACCCACGCCAGGAACGGCCGTTACAATAATAAATAAATCTATCGTCGACCAAATATCTTTATGAGCAAAAAGATACCGACTTAAGACTAGACACGCACAATACGACCGATACTTGGGATACGTGAGCTACGCGAGCTAGCCCCTCCCGGAAACGCAAGCGAGCCCCTGTAGACGCGATTTCCCTGCCAGATGTCAAGTGCCTGGCGCACAAAACAAGTCCGCTAAGGACCCACAGGATTCGGTGACAATTCGCACGCAGTCATAAAAAAGGCTAACCGGCCTAGGACTGCAGGCTCAAACTACAGGCGTTGTCTATTCGCTCGACCCAACGACTGACATAAGCCATGAATCCTACTCTAATTTCCCACGGGTGCTTGCGTTCGGGAGGTCTGCCAAATATTTATGCATAACAGTCAAAAAAACTACGTGCATTGACGGTCCCCGGAATTGCAACAGAGTCTACTCTCTCTGAAGTCCTCTCCTTCCAGACGACACGCCTCCACAGGGCAACTGGATCGCAGAGGAAGCTCCTCGGTCTTCCTCTGTCCCGAACTCGTCGTTTCATCAACCGTCATCGGTTGGAGACGAGGAACACGGCCCCGACGATCCCAAATTCGAACCGTCGTGCACGGAGCCTACGCAGCGGTGTCTAAACCGGCTACGTTGAGACGCTCGCCTTTAGAAGTCGCAATTCCCGTCCATACACTCAAGTTCACGTCGGTAACA